TTGAATATATGTAGAGGATTTCATTAGATGATTCCGGCCTGGATCGAACCGGCGGCCTTCTGCGTGTTAAGCAGATGTGATAACCAATACTCCACCGAACCTACAAAAATAAAACGCATTTGTAGCACGCATCGCCAATATTTAATAAAAGCTCAGAATAAATATTGAAGACCTTGATGTATGATTCATCGTGAGATTGCACCGACAGTCAATAAACCACCAAAAATTTTCATTGGTTTTGAACTAATATAGAGAATTTCATTATATGATTCCGGCGGGGATCGAACTGGCGGCCTTCTGCGTGTAAAGCAGATGTGATAAACCACTAACACTCGACAAACAACAAAAATAAAACGCATTTGCAGCAGGCGTCGCTAATATTTAATAAAAGTTTAGAATAAATATTGAAGACTTCGATGTATGATTCATCGTGAGATTGCACCGACAGTCAATAAACCACCAAAAGCCTTTATTGGATTTGAATAAATATAGAGGATTTCATTATATGATTCCAGCCGGGATCGAACATGCGGCCTACACCATGGAACCTACAAAAATAAATCTCATTTGCAGCAATATTGAGAACACCACTGTAAGATTCATCATGAGATTGCACCGACAATCAATAAACCACCAAAACCCTTTATTCGTTGTGAATAAATGTAGAGGATTTCATTAGATGATTCCGGCCGGGATCGAATCGGCGGCCTTCTGCGTGTTGAGCAGATGTGATAACCACTACACCACGCAACCTACAAAAATAAACACCATTTGCAGCAATATTGAGGACATCGATGTAAGATTCATCATGAGATTGCGCCGACAATCAATAAATCACCAAAACTTCATTAGATGATTCCGGCTGGGATCGAACCGTCGGTCTTCTGCGTGTAAAGCAGATGTGATAACCACCACACCACGGAACCTACAAAAACAAAACGCATTTGCAGCACGCATCGCCAATATTTAATAAAGGCTTAGAATAAATAATAAAGACTTCGGTGCATAATTCATCGTGAGATTGCACCGACAGTCAATAAACCACCAAAAATCTTCATTGGTTTTGAACTAATATAGAGGATTTCATTATATGATTTCGGCCGGGATCGAATCGGTGGCCTCCTGCGTGTGAAGCAGACGTGATAACCACTACACCACGAAACCTACAAAAATAAAACGCATTTGCAGCAATATTGAGGACATCGATGTAAGATTCATCATGAGATTGCACCGACAATCAATAAACCACCAAAATCCTTTATTCGTTTGGATAAATATGCAAAAATAAAACGCATTTGCAGCACGCATCGCCAATATTTAATAAAAGTTTAAAATAAATATTATGATTCATCATGGGATTGCATCGACAATCAATAAACCACCAAAACCCTTCATTGGTTTTGAATAAATACAGAGGATTTCACTACATGATTCCGGCCGGATCGAACCGGCGACCTTCTGCGTTGCGAAGCAGATGCCGGAACCACTACACCACGGAACCTACAAAATTAAAAACGCATTTGTAGCACGCATCGCCAATATTTGATAAAAGCTTAGAATAAAATTGAGAACTTTGATGTATGATTATCATGGGATTGCACCGACAATCAATAAACATCAAAACCCTTTATTGGCTTTGAATAAATATATAGGATTTCATTAGATGATTCCGGCCGGGATCGAATCGGCGGCGTTCTGCGTGGTTAAGCAGATGTGATTAACCACTACAACACGAAACCTACAAAAATAAATCGCATTTGCAGCAATATTGAGGACATCGATGTAAGATTCATCATGAGATTGCACCGACAATCAATAAAGCACCAAGACCCTTTATTCGTTTGATAAATTTAGAGGATTTTATTAGATGATTCCGGCCGGGACCGAACGCGGCCTTCTGCGCGGTAAAGCAGATGTGATAACCACTACACCACGGACATACAAAAATAAAACGCATTGCAGCACGCATCGCCAATATTTAATAAGGCTTAGAATAATTTTTAAAGACTTCGGTGTATGATTCATCGTGAGATTGCACCGACAGTCAATAAACCACCAAAAATCTTCATGGTTTTGAACTAATATAGAGTATTTCATTATATGATTCCGGCCGGGATCGAACCGGCGGCCTTCTGCGTGTGAAGCAGATGTGATAACCACTACACCACGAAACCTACAAAAACAAAACGCATTTGCAGCAGGCATCACCAATATTTAATAAAAGCTTAGAATAAATATTGAAGACTTCGATATATGATTCATTGTGAGATTGCACCGGCAGTCAATAAACCACCAAAAGCCTTCATTGGATTTGAATAAATATAGAGGATTTTACTAGATGATTCCGGCCAGGACCGAACCGGCGGCCTTCTGCGTGTAAATCAGATGTAATAACCACTACACCACAAAACCTACAAAAATAAAACGCATTTTCAGCACGCATCGCCAATATTCAATAAAGGCTTAGAATAAATATTAAAACTTTGGTGTAAGATTCATCGTGAGATTGCACCGACAGTCAATAAACCACCAAAATCTTTATTGGTTTTGAAGTAATATAGAGGATTTCATTATATGATTCCGGCCGGGATCGAACCAGCGGCCTTCTGCGTGTGAAGCGGATGTGATAACCGCTACACCACGGAACCTACAAAAATAAATCCTATTTGTAGCAATATTGAGGACATTATGAGATTGCACCGACAATCAATAAACCACCAAAACCCTTTATTCGTTTTGATAAATATAGAGGACTTCATTAGATGATTCCGGCTGGGATCGAACCGGCGGCGGCCTTCTGCGTGTGAAGCATATGTGATAACCACTACACCACGGAACCTACAAAAACAAAACGCATTTGCAGCACGCATCGCTAATATTTAATAAAGGCTTAGAATTAATATTAAAGACTTCGGTGTATAATTCATCGTGAGATTGCACCAACAGTCAATAAACCACCAAAAATCTTCATTGGTTTTGAACTAATATAGAGGATTTCATTATATGATTCTGGCCGGGATCGAACCGGCGGCCTTCTGCGTGTGAAGCAGATGTGATAACCACTACACCACGTAACCTAAAAAAACAAAACGCATTTGCAGCACGCATCGCCAATATTTAATAAAGGCTTAGAATAAATATTAAAATTTTCGGTGTATGATTCATCGTAGGATTGCACCGACAGTCAATAAACCACCAAAAATCTTCATTGGTTTTGAACTAATATAGAGGATTTCATTATATGATTCCGGCCGGGATTGAACCGGCGGCCTTCTGCGTGTAAAGCAGATGTGATAACCACTACACCACGGAACCTACAAAAATAAAACGCATTTGCAGCACGCATCGCCAATATTTAATAAAGGCTTAGAATAAATATTAAAGACTTCGGCGTATGATTCATCGTGAGATTGTACCGACAGTCAATAAACCACCAAAAATCTTCATTGGTTTTGAACTAATATAGAGGTTTTCATTATATAATTCCGTCCGGGATCGAACCGGCGGCCTTCTGCGTGTTAAGCAGATGTGATAACCACTACACCACGAAACATACAAAAATAAAACGCATTTGCAGCACGCATCGCCAATATTTAATAAAAGCTTAGAATAAATATTGAAGACTTCGATGTATGATTCATCGTGAGATTGCACCGACAGTCAATAAACCACCAAAAGCCTTCATTGGTTTTGAATAAATATAGAGGATTTCATTAGATGATTCCGGCCGGGATCGAACCGGCGGCCTTCTGCGTGTAAAGCAGATGTGAAAACCACTACGCCACGGAACCAACAAAAATAAAACCCATTTGCAGCAATATTGAGGACATCATGAGATTGCACCGACAATCAAAAAACCACCAAAACCCTTTATTGGTTTTGAATATATGTAGAGGATTTTATTAGATGATTCCGGCCGGGATCGAACCGGCGGCCTTGGAACCTACAAAAATAAATCTCATTTGCAGCAATATTGAGGACATTACTGTAAGATTCATCATGAGATTGCACCGACAATCAATAAACCACAAAAACCCTTTATTCGTTTTGATAAATATAGAGGATTTCATTAGATGATTCCGGCCGGGATCAAATCGGCGGCCTTCTGTGTGTTAAGCAGATGTGATAACCACTACACCACGAAACGTACAAAAATAAAACGCACTTGCAGCACGCATCGCCAATATTTAATAAAGGCTTAGAATAAATATTAAAGACTTCGGTGCATAATTCATCGTGAGATTGCACCGACAGTCAATAAACCACCAAAAACTTTTACTAGTTTTGAACTAATATAGAGGATTTCATTATATGATTCCGGCCGGGATCGAACTGGCGGCCTTCTGCGTGTAAAGCAGATGTGATAACTATTACACCACGGAACCTACAAAAATAAAACGCATTTGTAGCACGCATCGCCAATATTTAATAAAAGCTTAGAATAAATATTGAAGACTTCGATGTATGATTGATCGTGAGATTGCACCGACAGTCAATAAACCACCAAAAATTTTCATTGGTTTTGAACTAATATAGAGGATTTCATTATATGATTCCGGCGGGGATCAAACTGGCGGCCTTCCGCGTTTAAAGCAGATGTGATAACCACTACACTACGGAACATACAAAAATAAAACGCATTTGCAGCAGGCGTCGCTAATATTTAATAAAAGCTTAGAATAAATATTGAAGACTTCGAGGTATGATTCATCGTGAGATTGCACCGACAGTCAATAAACCACCAAAAGCCTTTATTGGATTTGAATAAATATAGAGGATTTCATTATATGATTCCGGCCGGGATCGAACATGCGGCCTACACCATGGAACCTACAAAAATAAATCTCATTTGCAGCAATATTGAGAACATCACTGTAAGATTCATCATGAGATTGCACCGACAATCAATAAACCACCAAAACCCTTTATTCGTTGTGAATAAATGTAGAGGATTTCATTAGATGATTCCGGCTGGGATCGAACCGTCGGCCTTCTGCGTGTAAAGCAGATGTGATAACCACCACACCACGGAACCTACAAAAACAAAACGCATTTGCCGCACGCATCGCCAATATTTAATAAAGGCTTAGAATAAATAATAAAGACTTTGGTGCATAATTCATCGTGAGACTGCACCGACAGTCAATAAACCACCAAAAATCTTCATTGGTTTTGAATTAATATAGAGGATTTCATTATATGATTTCGGCCGGGATCGAATCGGTGGCCTCCTGCGTGTGAAGCAGATGTGATAACCACTACACCACGAAACCTACAAAAATAAAACGCATTTGCAGCAATATTGAGGACATCGATGTAAGATTCATCATGAGATTGCACCGACAATCAATAAACCACCAAATTCCTTTATTCGTTTTGATAAATATGCAAAAATAAAACGCATTTGCAGCACGCATCGCCAATATTTAATAAAAGTTTAAAATAAATATCATGATTCATCATGGGATTGCATCGACAATCAATAAACCACCAAAACCCTTCATTGGTTTTGAATAAATACAGAGGATTTCACTACATGATTCCGGCCGGGATCGAACCGGCGACCTTCTGCGTGCGAAGCAGATGCCAGAACCACTACACCACGGAACCTACAAAAATAAAACGCATTTGTAGCACGCATCGCCAATATTTGATAAAAGCTTAGAATAAATTTTGAGAACTTTGATGTATGATTTATCATGGGATTGCACCGACAATCAATAAACCACCAAAACCCTTTATTGGCTTTGAATAAATATATAGGATTTCATTAGATGATTCCGGCCGGGATCGAATCGGCGGCGTTCTGCGTGTTAAGCAGATGTGATAACCACTACAACACGAAACCTACAAAAATAAAACGCATTTGCAGCAATATTGAGGACATCGATGTAAGATTCATCATGAGATTGCACCGACAATCAATAAAGCACCAAGACCCTTTATTCGTTCTGATAAATTTAGAGGATTTTATTAGATGATTCCGGCCGGGACCGAACAGGCGGCCTTCTGCGCGTAAAGCAGATGTAATAACCACTACACCACGGAACATACAAAAATAAAACGCATTTGCAGCAGGCATCGCCAATATTTAATAAAAGCTTAGAATAAATATTGAAGACTTTGAAGTGTGATTCATCGTACGTACGCTGTACCGACAGTCAATAAACCACCAAAAACCTTTATTGGATTTGAATAAATGTAGAGGATTTCATTAGATGATTCCGGCCGGGATCGAACCGGCGGCCTTCTGCCTGTCAGGCAGATGTGATAACCACTACACCACGAAACCTACACAAATAAAACGCATTTGTAGCACGCATCGCCAATATTTAATAAAAGCTCAATAAATATTGAAGACTTTGATGTATGATTCATCGTAAGATTGCACCGACAGTCAATAAACCACTAAAAGCCTTCATTGGATTTGAATGAACATAGAGGATTTCTGCGTGTTAAGCAGATGTGATAACCACTACACCACGGAACCTGCAAAAATAAAACGCATTTGCAGCACGCATCGCTAATATTCAATAAATGCTTAGAATAAATATTGAAGACTTCGATGTATGATTCATCGTGAGATTGCACCGACAGTCAATAAACCACCAAAAGCCTTCATTGGATTTGAATAAATATAGAGGATTGCATTAGATGATTCCGGTCGGGATTGAACCGGCGGCCTTCTGCGGTTTAAGCAGATGAGATAACCACAACACCACGGAATCCACAAAAATAAAACGCATTAGCAGCACGCATCGCCAATATTTAATAAAAGCTTAGAATAAAAATTGAAGACTTCGATGTATGATTCATCGTGAGATTGCACCGGCAGTCAATAAACACCAAAACCCTTTATTGGTTTTGAATAAATGTAGAGGATTTCATTAGATGATTCCGGCCGGTATCAAATCGGCGGCCTTCTGCGTGTTAAGTAGATGTGATAACTACTACACCACAAAGCTACAAAAATAAAACGCATTTGCAGCAATATTAAGGACATCGATGTAAGATTCATCATGAGATTGCACCGACAATCAATAAACCACCAAAACCCTTTATTCGTTTTGATAAATATAGAGGACTTTATTACGTGATTCCAAAACAAAACGCATTTGCAGCAGGCATCACCAATATTTAATAAAAGCTTAGAATAAATATTGAAGACTTCGATATATGATTCATTGTGAGATTGCACCGACAGTCAATAAACCACCAAAAGCCTTCATTGGATTTGAATAAATATAGAGGATTTTATTAGATGATTCCGGCCAGGACCGAACCGGCGGCCTTCTGCGTGTAAATCAGATGTAATAACCACTACACCACAAAACCTACAAAAATATAACGCATTTTCAGCACGCATCGCCAATATTCAATAAAGGCTTAGAATAAATATTAAACTTTGGTGTAAGATTCATCGTGAGATTGCACCGACAGTCAATAAACCACCAAAAATCTTTATTGGTTTTGAAGTAATATAGAGGATTTCATTATATGATTCCGGCCGGGATCGAACCAGCGGCCTTCTGCGTGTGAAGCGGATGTGATAACCGCTACACCACGGAACCTACAAAAATAAATCCTATTTGTAGCAATATTGAGGACATTATGAGATTGCACCGACAATCAATAAACCACCAAAACCCTTTATTCGTTTTGATAAATATAGAGGACTTTATTAGATGATTCCGGCTGGGATCGAACCGGCGGCGGCCTTCTGCGTGTGAAGCATATGTGATAACCACTACACCACGGAACCTACAAAAACAAAACGTATTTGCAGCACGCATCGCTAATATTTAATAAAGGCTTAGAATAAATATTAAAGACTTCGGTGTATAATTCATCGTGAGATTGCACCGACAGTCAATAAACCACCAAAAATCTTCATTGGTTTTGAACTAATATAGAGGATTTCATTATATGATTCTGGCCGGGATCGAACCGGCGGCCTTCTGCGTGTGAAGCAGATGTGATAACCACTACACCACGTAACCTAAAAAAACAAAACCCATTTGCAGCACGCATCGCCAATATTTAATAAAGGCTTAGAATAAATATTAAAAACTTCGGTGTATGATTCATCGTGGGATTGCACCGACAGTCAATAAACCACCAAAAATCTTCATTGGTTTTGAACTAATATAGAGGATTTCATTATATGATTCCGGCCGGGATTGAACCGGCGGCCTTCTGCGTGTAAAGCAGATGTGATAACCACTACACCACGGAACCTACAAAAATAAAATGCATTTGCAGCACGCATCGCCAATATTTAATAAAGGCTTAGAATAAATATTAAAAACTTCGGCGTATGATTCATCGTGAGATTGTACCGACAGTCAATAAACCACCAAAAATCTTCATTGGTTTTGAACTAATATAGAGGATTTCATTATATAATTCCGGCCGGGATCGAACCGGCGGCCTTCTGCGTGTTAAGCAGATGTGATAACCACTACACCACGAAACATACAAAAGTAAAACGCATTTGCAGCACGCATCGCCAATATTTAATAAAAGCTTAGAATAAATATTGAAGACTTCGATGTATGATTCATCGTGAGATTGCACCGACAGTCAGTAAACCACCAAAAGCCTTCATTGGTTTTGAATAAATATAGAGGATTTCATTAGATGATTCCGGCCGGGATCGAACCGGCGGCCTTCTGCGTGTAAAGCAGATGTGATAACCACTACGCCACGGAACCAACAAAAATAAAACCCATTTGCAGCAATATTGAGGGCATCATGAGATTGCACCGACAATCAAAAAACCACCAAAACCCTTTATTGGTTTTGAATATATGTAGAGGATTTTATTAGATGATTCCGGCCGGGATCGAACCGGCGGCCTTGGAACCTACAAAAATAAATCTCATTTGCAGCAATATTGAGGACATTACTGTAAGATTCATCATGAGATTGCACCGACAATCAATAAACCACAAAAACCCTTTATTCGTTTTGATAAATATAGAGGATTTCATTAGATGATTCCGGACGGGATCGAATCGGCGGCCTTCTGCGTGTTAAGCAGATGTGATAACCACTACACCACGAAACGTACAAAAATAAAACGCATTTGCAGCAGGCATCGCCATTATTTAATAAAAGCTTAGAATAAATATTGAAGACTTCGATGTATGATTCATCGAAATCAATAGACCACCAAAACCCTTTATTGGTTTTGAATAAATGTAGAGGATTTCATGAGATGATTCCGGCCGGGATCAAACCGGCGGCCTTCTGCGTGTAAAACAGATGTGATAACCAATACTCTATCGAACCTGCAAAAATAAAACGCATTTGTAGCACGCATCGCCAATATTCAATAAAGGCTTAGAATAAATATTAAAGACTTCGGTGCATAATTCATCGTGAGATTGCACCGACAGTCAATAAACCACCAAAAACTTTCACTGGTTTTGAACTAACATAGATGATTTCATTATATGATTCCGGCCGGGATCGAACTGGCGGCCTTCTGCGTGTAAAGCAGATGTGACAACCACTACACCACGGAACCTACAAAAATAAAACGCATTTGCAGCACGCATCGCCAATATTTAATAAAAGCTTAGAATAAATATTGAAGACTTTGATGTATGATTCATCGTGAGATTGCACCGACAGTCAATAAACCACCAAAAGCCTTTGTTGGATTTGAATAAGTATAGAGGATTTCATTATATGATTTCGGCCGGGATCGAATCGGCGGCCTTCTGCGTGTTAAGCAGATGTGATAACCACTACACCACGCAACCTACAAAAATAAAACGCATTTGCAGCAATATTGAGGACATCGATGTAAGATTCATCATGAGATTGCGCCGACAATCAATAAATCACCAAAACTTCATTAGATGATTCCGGCCGGGATCGAACCGGCGGCCTTCTGCGTGTAAAGCAGATGTGATAACCACTACACCACGGAACTTACAAAAACAAAACCCATTTGCAGCAATATTGAGGACATCATGAGATTGCGCCGACAATCAATAAACCACCAAAACCCTTTATTGGTTTTGAATATATGTCGAGGATTTTATTAGATGATTCCGGCCGGGATCGAACCGGCGGCCTCGGAACCTACAAAAATAAATCTCATTTGCAGCAATATTGATGACATCACTGTAAGATTCATCATGAGATTGCACCGACAATCAATAAACCACCAAATCGTAGGTAGGTAGAGTAAAGATAAAGGTAGAGCACCATATATAGGTAGAGTAAAGGTGAAGGTAGAGCACCAGATATAGGTAGAGTAAAGGTAAAGGTAGAGCACCAGATATAGGTAGAGTAAAGGTAAAGGTAGAGCACCAGATATAGGTAGAGTAAAGGTAAAGGTAGAACACCATATATAGGTAGAGTAAAGGTAAAGGTAGAGCACCAGATATAGGTAGAGTAAAGATAAACGTAGAGCACCAGATATAGGTAGAGTAAAGGTAAAGGTAGAGCACCAGATATAGGTAGAGTAAAGATAAAGGTAGAGCACCAGATATAGGTAGAGTAAAGGTAAAGGGAGAGCACCATATATAGGTAGAGTAAAGATAAAGGTAGAGCACCAGATATAGGTATAGTAAAGGTAAAGGTAGAGCACCATATATAGGTAGAGTAAAGATAATGGTAGAGCACCATATATAGGTAGAGTAAAGGTAAAGGTAGAGTACCAGATATAGGTAGAGTAAAGGTAAAGGTAGAGCACCAGATATAGGTAGAGTAAAGGTAAAGGTAGAGCACCAGATATAAGTAGAGTAAAGATAAAGGTAGAGCACCATATATAGGTAGAGTAAAGGTAAAGGTAGAGCACCAGATATAGGTAGAGTAAAGGTAAAGGTAGAGCTCCAGATATAGGTAGAGTAAAGGTAAAGGTAGAGCACCATATATAGGTAGAGTAAAGGTAAAGGTAGAGCACCAGATATAGGTAGAGTAAAGGTAAAGGTAGAGCACCAGATATAGGTAGAGTTAAGGTGAAGGTAGAGCACCAGATATAGGTAGAGTAAAGGTAAAGGTAGAGCACCAGATATAGGTAGAGTAAAGGTAAAGGTAGAGCACCAGATATAGGTAGAGTAAAGATAAAGGTAGAGCACCATATATAGGTAGAGTAAAGGTAAAGTTAGAGCACCAGATATAGGTAGAGTAAAGGTAAAGGTAGAGCACCAGATATAGGTAGATTAAAGGTAAAGGTAGGGCACCAGATATAGGTATAGTAGAGGGAAAAAAGGTAAACATATATAAGTAGAGGTAAATTAAAGGTAAATGTAAGGCACAATATATAGGTAAAGAACCATATATCGGTAGAGGTAAATTAAAGGTAAATGTAAGGCACAATATATAGGTAAAGCTCCATATATAGGTAGAGGTAAATTAAAGGTAAATGTAAGGCAGAATATATAGGTTTAACTGTCCCGCGCAATTGTAAACAAAAATTGTTTCAATTGCGACAGCAACAGTAAGTTTGTTATAAAATTTATTTAGTCCATAAACAGTACATTACAAAAACACCTTGTTTTATTATTAATGACCCAGATATTATAGTATATAATATGCGAATAATTCTTGTAAAAGTTAGTAAAATCCTAGACATTGTAAGTGACTCTAGTTTATTAGATAGTGAATGTCATATTGTTAGTATTGTTCAATAAAGTGGTTATAATTGCGGAAGAGCTTGTATTTTATTCACGCCAAGTCTTCCAGCTAACACCTCCAGGAAACCACCCCCGTTCCGAGGAGACTTCTCAAACCAGTACCCCGCTTATCATATATCTGTGGACGAGTTGATCTTGTGTTGCTAGGATTACCCCTACATCGCTAGAAGAACCCAGAAGCAACCAAGTCAACAACCACGCCGTCACATTTCATGGTAACAGCGGTGAGATTTCCTGAGACAGTGAAGTGCTAAAGGGCCATATTCCACCCCGGACGCACGAAGTACTCAAAAGGATACAGGTGGCAGCCAAACCAACCGGAGCTATTTGGACAATACTACTAGGATTTTACTCCCCAAGTAAGTGATTTTTTTTCTTTTCTCTCTGAAAACAATGGCGCATTCTCCCAGAAGATCCACGTTCGCAACACAAATAGATGAGTTTAGATTAGAGGAAGAAGACACAAGAATTGACCCTGTAGCAATAAATTCAGCTATAAATTTAATTCCTAAATTTGATGGGAAACCATCAGAATTAAATAAGTTTATTTATACAGTAGATACGTTAAGAAAAGGTTCAAATTCTGCAACAGCTTCACAACTTTTAAAAATAGCCTTAACTAAATTAGAGGGGTCTGCTTTTAATTATATTAGAAATACAGAAAACTTGTTATGGGATGAAGTTAAAGACTTATTAATTTCAAAATTTGGGGAACGTCGTTCTATACCGGAATTACAACTAAAACTTGCCAATATAAGACAATTGCCAGGCGAATCTGTTAGAAAATATTCAGAGAAAATCGAAAAAATCCTTGGGTTAATGTGTGACCAATCAAAAACAGATGATAAAGCATCATTGCGCTCATTACAATCCGCTCACAATCAGCTAGCTTTGACGGTATTCATTAATGGCCTTAGGCCAGAGCTTAGAATATTAATTAAAGCGGCCAGACATGCTGATCTAGAGGATGCTGTACTGATGGCTATTAAAGAGGAACAAAACCTATGTAGGAGTGGACATCACTACGGTGGAAATACAAAATCACTGACAACTAATTCTACAGCGAAAGGGACCGGAACACCATTTTGCAAAAGATGCAAGATTTCGG